AACAATTTGTACTTTATAACAGAGGAAACCTTTTAGAAGATTTTGAACCAGTCTAAAGAAAATCTGCCTTTGAAGTGCAAAGAAGGATCCCTCTATATACTTCTAAAATTTACATCTGTTTCCTCAAATATTCACCATAGAGAGCGTCTGAGATGTGTGTTGAGGTAGGCGGAAAAGGGAGGTTAAGAACTGTTGAACTAGGGAATATTCTCTTTATTGAAATGAAACTGGTAGGACTGACCTTACAACATGTGAAACATATCCAATTATTTAGGTGAGCCGGGGCACCCCTCCCATTTTCATGAAGCCTGCCTGCTACTGATACTGCTGTCAGTCAAGGTGTTTAGACAGGCTGACCTCTAGTCTGTATGGCATCTTTATGTGACTTATTAAAAGGCTCCTCTGCCATCTGTGGGAAGATTTCTGCAACATAATGGTCTTTTTAGAGCACTCTTTACATCTCTCTGATAGACACTTGTCATAATAAATATGCAAAACCAAGATGTAAATGGCAACCCTTGAACATTGTGCTATTGTGTGGTGTACCCTGCAAGACCAATGGGACATTTGTAAGTTGAAAAAAAAAAAAAAAAGAATCTCCACAGCAGCACTTGTCTATAACATGAAAATAAGAAGTCATACTGATTGCAAGAATCCTGGAAAGTTCCTGTTCAGCAAGTTGAGGTGTTAGAATGTTGTGGAGGTATGGTGTAGGGTGGGGAAGGTTTTTTTCATTGATGGCTTCCATTAATTGAGAGCAAAAGCTTGGCTATTGTTCTTTATATGTCTTCCAGTAAGTTAAAAACAGCCTACAAATTCCTACTATGTAGCCAAATGGAAAAGATTTTCTGTTTACAGAGAAAACACAAAGCTTGTTTCTTCCCCATCATTAAGCAGGCTGGGTATACTTAGCAGAACTTTTCCACTTAGGTATCCAAGTTAGGGCTATCAGTGACTTTTTGCTTGAAATCTAAACATTTTAGAGACATTTTGTTGGGAAAACTATTCATGGGCCCATTCAAAAAGAATCAAATAGTTTGGTGGGTTTCCATCTTGGAAGTAGGATGTTTATTTAAGAAACTCTAATAAAGCTCTCTTTCAAGCCCAAAAAAGTTATAGTCAGAACCAAGTGGTAGACTAAAAAACTCAGGAAATAGTTACTGATGTACAAGAAAGAGAGGGAAAGAAAGAGACAGGGAAGGAAGCAACTTGACTAGAAACTTTGACTGGTGTTTCTTACTTCCTCCAACTTTGAAAAACTATTTCACTGGTAATAGAGTTTAGAACACTCTCATTCCCCAATAAGCCCTCCTAGGCAAGAGGTACTATCCAGGGTATGGCTAAGGCTGAGCTTCTAGAGCAAAGTGTGAGGGTGGCTGCAAGATTTCATGCAAAGTAAATTGTCCAATGAGAGCAGGCAGGGCAGGAAAGTCCAAAGCCAGGTACCCAAGGGATCGGGCAGAAACCAGGAAAGAATTTGTGAAGAATTGGCAAGAGAGACTGATTGGAGAAAGTGGGTTGTCCCTCAAAGATTGCAGAAGAATGCTAGAGATAGGACCTTCTACAGGGTGCCCACAAAAGATGCTCAGCAGAGAAAGACATAGGAAAGAAGCCAAACTAGTTTGAACATCAGCTTACCCCTTTATGTACTTTTCAAAACCTCCATAGACAAAAATATAATAATAATAATAATAATAGTAAGGGAAACATGGTATCAGAAAATTCAGAGAAATGCATACAGTTGAATAACAAAAGAGAGTTGAAAGGTCCAGGAAGAAAAGCTGAGAGCATGTGAGAATTGTATTTTGATCAAAGTGACAAAGCTGGACAAACACCTGGATGTAAATGTGTAGGAATAATATTTCTGAGGTGGCTATATTGGAGATCAAGGGCCATGAACGCAAAAGGAAACGTAGGTTAGCCAAATGCCCTCGGTGACATTAGCAAGCACTTTCTACCTTATGTTTATAATTATTCTACATATATATAATCCTAAATCAGTAACCCAGTGGGGTTGTCTAATAAGTGAGCATGCTTACCACCCATACTTGATCATTTTCTGCATTTTCTATTTCAGTGTAATGGCAAGAGGTTCTTCCTATCACAAACCTTTTTTTGATTTAGCAATGATATAAACCCTGTGACTGTTTAGTTAGATCCTTAGTCCCTAGCAGAGTATTAGTTACTGTTGTACAGCTTGGTTTACCCAGCAGCCAGTGAGAAAGAAATTTCCTACTAAAGGACAAGCATTTTACAATTCACACTTGTAAAACTGTGATACTATGTTTCTCTCACAGTTACCTTCTTATGCTTAGCTGTACCTTGTCAGTGTCTTTGACTACTACCTGTAATATTAGTAACTTTCTCCTTTGGATATGAGGTGGAACTGTGTGGAAAGTAAAGACAAAAAAAAAAAAAAAAAAAGAAGAAGAAGTACCAGAAATCTCCTCCCTGTGTGTTAACCTTCAAAGGTTATGAAGGATGAAGTCAATGACTCTCAACCTTGGCCACAAACCAGAATCACCTGAAGTCTTTACAAAATCTGATACCCAGACAGTATCTCTGACAAACCAAATCAGTAACCCTCAGGGTGGGACCTGGCACCAGTGCTGTGAGTGTGTGTATGTTTCAAAGTTCTATAGGTAGTGTCCTTTGAGAAAAACTGTTATTAATTGGGACAGTGCAGATGCCTCTCATATTTGCTACATTTGGTGCCCAATGAGTGTAAGCACCAGCCTCTTTTGTTAGGGCAAGGGTTAAGGCTAGGTTAGGGCTGAGGTTGGTTCCTTCTGCCCCTTTTCTCCCACTGAGCCCTTCTCTGTTCGGAACTTGCGCAAGACTAGCATTGTGTCTGTCAGTATTATGACATGTATTATAGGTGACTTTGCTCCAGAGTTGGAGAATTCATGACCTCATTCTGAAAAAGATAGCTCTCTTCTTCTGTAACTTTTTTTTTTAATTTGGCAGTAGTGGGGTTGAACTCAGGGTCTCATGCTTGCTAGGCAGGTGCTCTTATCACTTGAGCCACTCCACCAGCCCCCTTCTTTTGTCACTTTTAATGTACCATGTCATCATTTTTTTCATGTCTTTATCTTTCAATATTACTTCTTCCACCTTTCCAGATGAAAGATTCAGATCCCCAGAATCTGTGGATTTAGGAAGAATTCTGACTTCTATACCCGTGGGGGTTTAATTTAGCCAAATCTTTTTGAGCCACTTTAGAAGGATTAGAGTAGAAATTAATTTTAAGAAATAAAGGAGATTCCTAAAAATAGAACACAACTCATCTACTTCAATTAAAAATGCCTTCTTTTTCCAAGCATTTTTGAACTCTTAAGCATTTTTAATAAGCTCACTTACAAGTCTTATTTAAAAATAAATAAATTGTACTTGTTTTCATTAAGGGAAGAGATCATTTTTCCATCTTTGTGGGTATTGTTGAAGGACACAAAAAGAAGTCCAAAATTCAGCAAAGGAGCACATTATTAGTGACATATTGATCACAGATGTGCTGGTAGAGCTACATTTTCTTGCTACAATTGGTATTTTAAGTACCCACAAATTACATATGAAAGGCTAGATAAGTTCCTTATAAAACAGAAGGATGAAAAAACATATGGTATATGAAAAATCTTCATTTTGAAGGTATTCTAAATAAGTTTTTATAAGTAGGAACTGACACGTGTCCATTTGGTTTTCTTTTAAAGGAGAAGTCATGCTAGACAATGCTGGCCTTTGCTTATCATTATTAGCTCCAGGCATGTTAAGCAAGAGATGCTCTTTGTCAATACCTGTGAAGAAGAACTTTCCTTTCTATAACAACTCTTTAGAAAATTAAGAGGTCAAGACTCAAGAGGCAAAAGGAAAGTCTACTAACTTCATGGCTGGAATCTGTAGGCCTTTGAAGCAGAATTTGAGGATGTTAGCCAAATTTTGTTCTGTTGCAGAAAGTCCTGAAAGGGCTATGAGGAGATTATTAACAAGCTGACTCTGGAAACAGGGTTAGGATTCACCTGGGAGGAAATGGTGTTGGCACCAGGATGTTCATTAAACTAGTTGTAATAGATGAGTGTGATTCCAGATCTAAGACTCTGACTGTAGGATGTAATGGAAGGAAAAGGAATGTTGTAGAGGAAAAAGGATCAAGAAACAGATCTGACAGACATAAAAATAAAGGCAAGCTAAATCTTTATTATAAGACTTCTTGAGAAATTTTTGCTCACATTGATAAGAAAACTATACAAGAGAATAACTCCCAGAGGGATACAGATGCCCTGATTTTCATCATGTTTAAATTGATAAGCTTTGGAATGTCCTATAAGAAACTGAACAAAAATATTAATGTGTTAGTAATGTGAGAAACTGAATTATGACAAAAACCAGTACCATCCAGTTTCCTGATATGTAGATAGAAAATTATCCACTTGCAATTCCTTCCTTCCTTCCTTCCTTCCTTCCTTCCTTCCTTCCTTCCTTCCTTTTTTGGTGGGACTGGAGTTTGAAGTCAAGGCTTCACACTTGCAAAGCAGATGTGAGATGAGCCACACCTCCAGTCCATTTTGCTCTGCTTATTTTGGAGATGGGGTCTTTCCAATTATTTGCCTGGGCTGGCCTCAAAGCATAATCCTCCTGATCTCAACCTCCCAAGTAGCTTGGATTACAGGTGTGAGACACTGGCACTCAGCTTCCACTTGCATTTTTAATTTAGTTAAGAGTATGCATTTTAAGATGATTTGATGACCAGATGATTGCAATGCCTGGTGACTTTAAATCAGAAACTCATAATATATTTTTCACCCTGCAGGCTGTTTGATAATATTGTCAAGGGAATGTGAGTGTTTGATGCTAGCCAGTGCTATCTGGTATCTTGTGCATTATTCAGTTTTATAAGTTCAAGACATCTTACTGTTCAGTTTTTTTAAAAAACTAAGCCTATAGGAAAGACTTCAAATTCTTTTCATTCTCAAAGTACCTTGTTTTCGTGCCTCCCATTTCCCTAGGAAAGTGACAATATTGGAGGACACTGATCAGAACATTCACCTGAAAAACCTGTCACTCCATCAGGCAACAACAGAGGAAGAAGCTCTGAATTTGCTCTTCTTAGGAGACACCAACAGAATGATTGCAGAGGTAATAAAATCTTCTCTGTGAGCTATGTCTACAATACCATGAGACATAATAGAATTTTAGAGGCAGTAAAAATCTTAAAAATGATCTCATCCAGGGTTGGGGTCATAGTGCATGCCTATGATCCCAGCACTCAGGAGGCACTTGTGGCTCCCACCTGTAATCTTGCCTACTGGAGAGGCAGAGATCAGGAGGTTCAAGGTTTGAAACCAGCCCCGGCAAACCGTTCAAAGATCTATCTTGAGATGGCTCCAAGTGGTAGAGAACATTGGCCTGAACAAGCATGAGGCCCTGAGTTCAAACCCCAGTACAGCAAAAAAAAAGTTAGGATAAAGGCAGATTAAGAACTAGGGCATATAATGATGAATGACTTAACACGCCCCACCAATTGGTTTCGTGTGTGTGGGTTCTCTAGACATAGGTTTTAATAATATACGAATACAGGCGGGCCTCTGTGAGAAAGAGAAGAGGGTAGGAATTATAAAATGCAACTGGACAGATAAGTGGAAGGAACCTGTCCTCTGGACACTCACCTTCCTCCAGAGGTGTCTCATCCCAGGACAGAAAGAGGCCTAGACCCTGCTCACTAATCTCCTGAGTCCTCAGTGGGCTGTGGACGCTCCAATAGCCTCAAGGTTGGCTATTCCTGTTTCAGAGTTACACTTCACATTTAGCTGACTAAACAGTGTTTTAGACTGGTTTAGTATATGTTTGAGAACTTTTTGTGAGACCTACCTGTCATGTTTTCCGCTTAAAAAGTCCAAGTCTTTTTCCTGTTACTCATGAATGTTTCTAAAATAGTACCGACAAAAAAAAAAAACCTGCCAACATGAAGAAGTCAATCGGAGTAAAAATTGCTGGTTATGCATTACTTTGCTTGAGTTTATTCATTGTTCTGTGTGAATTTGATTTTTTTTTTTTAAACCAGCCTGACAGGTTTGGGTTTCTGTGCCTGATTTTATTTTTTTATTTGGTAGTGGGAGCTGACATGTTATGATGAGAGCTACTCAATAGACTTGGCAAGCTTAGACACGTGGGTGTGTGATTTCTGATGTCTTCCTCTGTCAGTGGAAACTGAGGCCCATAGAGTTATGGCTTCTTGTCCAAAGCTCACACGCCAGTGGAGTGGCAGACTCAGCTCAGCTTCCGTCAACTGAATCAAAGTTTATATCCTTTTCTTGTACTCATGAGTTGCAATATAACAAACTTGGCCATAGGTCAAAATTTTTTAGGTGTAGGATATATTTCTGAATTAATTTCAAAAAGTAATCAATATTTTAACACTTCTGTTATCTCCAACTTCAATGAAAGCAAATACAGGTACCTAAACACACAAATGGAGAGTATCTTGTCAACCCTGAAAATTCCTTATTATTCACAGTCCCATCCTAAAAAAGCGTTTTGGATTACAACCTAGCTGTTCAAATGTAATTTGTTCAGCGATGGAGCTAACCTAGGATAAAAAGAACACACTAATCATTTTAAAAAAGTAAAAAGCTTCCCAATTTCCGCATTTACACAGAGAAAGTCCACGAGGTTACCATGGTAACCGAGAAAACATTGCCAAAACAAAGTCTGAATAATGTGGGACACAAAGTGGAGTGCACTTTCCTTTCGTGCTCTTTACCAGTGGCCAGCATTGTTTAAGGAAAAGTTATTAAGAGTAGCCTAATCCTCCTCTTACTCAAAACTCTTCAAACTAATTTCTTCTGCAATGCTAGATGTTTTGAATAAAAACCTGATTATGTCCTAGGGTAACTTTTTTAAAAGTTGGATTGCTGGGCCAAAGAGTAATAAAATATTGTAATGCTGAACTGTTATATGACCCACCTCACCAGCCATCAGTAGCCAGTAATGAATTGGTCACTTTTGTGTCTTACACTTGAACTAGTTCTCCATTAATCAAATTATTGACTAAAGACATCTGTATTTGAATTGTCAGGACAGAACAGTTGTATAGGTAGGACCATTTTATGTCCATTTGTCCCCTACCTCAAACAGCCTTTCTCACCCCAGACTGAACAGTCTGTAATCAAGAGAAGTCCAGGATATATGTGCTTTCAAATTCCTGTAATAGTTAGCGACCTTTTCTTGGGTGGAATTTCTGTGGTGGGTTCAAAATGTCTATAACCCTGGAAGTCCAGGAGGTATTGATTTGAATATTACGCTGGCTAAATTGGGAGCAGTTTGGTCTTTAAGCATTAAGAAAGCTAGATATGAAACCCACGCTTCAGAGAATTATGTGAGAATTATGTGTTCTCTTCGTCAATACCGAAAAATTAAAATTCAAAGGAAAAAAAAGAAAAAATGAAAATCCGGTTTAATTTGCCATTTTTGGTTTAATCAAATTCTTTAAATAATTGGCTCAGATTTTGCCACTTCTACTTTTGTATTCGTCAGCCTTCTATTTGCTTTCCTCTGGAGTGCTCGGGTAGGTCCTGGTTAATGTGTCTCCGGCCTGGAACTTTGTCTTCCTCTCTCATGTACCACTGCACCCTACAAAATGAAGCCTGTGCTCTGCCACTAGCCATGCAACCTAAATCAATTGAGTGAATCACAAACTAATGTAACTAGCTTCTTGGTTTTGTCATGCTTTAAACAAGTGTTTCTCATTCTATAAACAATTTTTTTTTAGTTTTTAGATTCTTTCATTTTTTTAAATATAATCAAATCAATCTTTTTATTTAGTTTTCAACTTTTATATAATGCTTAGTAATTGTAAGGGACCCAGAGAGGAATAAATTCTAAATTATTAGCAAGTGTTTCTTGTTTTTATATTGAAATTTGATCCCCAGCCATCAAACCCAATGGTCCCTATTTGCCCATGGACATGGAAAAGGGCTGGTCATTTATTAGGTTGGAATGGATCTTTTTTATTTATTTTATTTTAAACTAACAGATTATAGTTGAATTATATTTATGGGGTTAAAAATGAATGTATGACTCATGAATACCATATGGAAGAATTCAATAAAGCTACTTAACATATCCGATCATTTCAAAATTCTTGATCACTTTGTTTTTTTGTGGTTCAGGAATGGATCTTCTCAGAGTTCCTCTGGAAATGGTAGAGATTTTATCTGAATCTTGAAGAAACACTATGTTTAAAAGACAACAGAAATCAGGGTTATTTTGACTCCTCCTCTAGAATAGCCTGCGTTGATAAAGGCACCATTTAATATTTAAATTTTAGGAGTCATAACACTGTTCAACAGTTAGACTAACATGGACCTCTTCTCATAACCAGTATGGAAAAGAGTAAAGTGTTCTGGGAATCTTTCTACCAACTTCACAGTAAATATCGTTATAGTTTAATTGTGCACCCCAAATTCATTTGTTGAAAATCCTAACCCCCAGGGGTTAGACCTTATTGGAAAGTGGTCCTTTACAGAGGGTAAATCACCGGTGGAAACAAGGTCATTAAGGTATGCCAATCCAAGACTGGTATTCTGAGAAGGACTTCAGAGACAGTACACATGAGGGAGAGCACCATGTGGGCAATGAGATCAGTTACCTATACATAGCCAAGGAAAGAGGCTGGAGCAAAAAACCTTCCCTCACACCACTCAGAAGTACCAACCCTGCCCAGCCCTTGAATTTTAGATTTCAGCTTTCAGAATGAGTGATTCACAAATTTCCAGTTGTTAAGGCCACCCACTTTACAGTCTATATTGAAATAGAAGTCCTAGCAAACATAAACAGTGTCCAAATGGCCTAGTACTAAGTTCTTACACAGTGGTAGTTGGTGACCTTAGTGGATCCAGGAGTAATAACATGGCAATGTGTATCTACTGTAACAACATTTTGCTGTGACACTGCCTAAAGGAAAGAACTACCTGCCAGGAAAGAACACTGTGCTGACATTTGGACGTCCATTGATCCCATCAAGTAGATGGCCTACTTTCTGCCTTCCTGAGTGAACCATCAACTGGACTTCCTCACCATTTTTGGTGCCTTCTCTGGCCTTTCTTCGCCATCACTGCCATACGCCTGCAGGTAGTGGCTGATAGAGCAGAGCTTTGGAGACCTCTTTTGTACTTCTGCCTCTGCCTATTTCCAAAAAGTTGTCCTTGAACAAGTCAACTTAACCAGTCCTGAACCACATTTTCTCACATCAAGGAAGAACATTGTAATAATAATACCTAACTTCCTAGGGGTATAGTGAGAAACTAAGTGACATTTGGGAAAGACTAAATGGCCATCATTTTTTAAAAATAATGCTTTTGTCTTATTCCAACTATATTCTTTCAAGACCTGGGCACTAGTAGGTGGTCAGTCCAGAAATTAAGTTGTTGTGTTGAAATTGAAGGGAAAGAAGAACTGGTTGAATTTAGGTGATAAAAGCCAACATGTCCCTTAGCTCAAAACGACATGTGATATTATGGAACACTGAAACCAAGGGGAAAACCTTAATGAGCCCTTTTGACTTAATATGCCACACTTGTTTTTAGTTGACTTTTAAAATCACCAACTTTGGAAGTCACCTAGCTCAGTAATATACTATTAGTCTCCTACTAATATACTAATATACTATTAGCTCTCGGTAGTTAACATTTCTTCTCACATGTGGGTCATAATGATAATGGCTGGCTAGGTTACTTTTCATGGCCTTTAGGTCACTTTTCTTAAAACCATCTGTGCAGGTAGATGACCATTTTTACATCTGGGCCAGAAAACTCCCCCCTCATATCACACCACTGCTGCTGTTTTCTGACCATGAGTCCCGTGAAGAGCTATGAAGATTGATCAGACACATACAGACCACTCATTGCTTTACCTCCAGTCACCTTTCCCTGCATCCTAACGCCCCTCCCCCTGCATCTTTATCACATTAGTAGCTCAAACCCTATCCTCGGGGAGGTGGGTTTGGGCCATGGTCTTCTGTGTCCATGTTTGTCCACCTCATGAATAAACTCTCTTTTGCAAAACTTGTCATTTTAACAACTGGCATACTGCTCAGCAAGCATATCTGGCTTGGTCCAGTAGCAACTGTGTCTGTTGATGAATATAGAGGACATCA